CATCACAGCTGGGGAATAAAGGCGTCCGCGTGCAGGGCTCCAGGGCCTCTCGCCTGGGAACAGGTCACCTGTGGCCAGCGCAGCTGCTGACCGCCCAGGCCCTGTCTGTGAGGGCTCCGAGCCCTGGAGCCAGAGCGTGCTGCACGCACAAGCCCTTGTTCAGCCCCTTCTCCGTGGCCCCACGGCCTTGCCATCCCATTCCCGTTCCTGGAAACCTCAGTCCACTTGTGGACTCCCGACAGTCCCAGAAGCCAGTGGAGGACAGGTTTCCCGCAGCCTGCCCAGCAGGGCCCGGACCGGGACGAGGGCACAGGAAGGCCTGCTCCTGTTCGAGTTCACCGCCATGGCGCCCGGGGTTTGCTTTCTGCCCCGCTCAGTTATTGCAGGGGCCCGTTCCCGGCGTCCATGATGCTCAGAGGCATCGAACACACCCAGCAAACCCAGCCCTGGGGCTCAGCCAGCGGGACAGCCAGCTGTGGCCCTGGGAGACGCGGGCCAGCTCTGCCTGGCAGGACCTGCCACCGTGGGTGCCCCGGGCCGGGGCACCGGGCAAGATGAGCTGCCCTGAGCCACAGTCCCTGTGGCCTCCAATCTGGGTTGCTAACTGCTCTTCAAACAGCCTGTGACCCCTCATGTTCTGGGAGTATCTGGGAGAGGGCAGCAAGGTTGGCTGATTGGCAGTTTTCTGCGTGCCCTCCTGGGCTGTCTGTTTTGGGTGTGCTGGGTGACTAGTTGTCCCCCAAGTTGAGTAGCATGCGATGGCCATCTTCCTATTCTCAAGTTTCTGTGGGTCCAGAATTCGGACAGGGACTCCAGCAGGCTGGCTTGTCCCTACATAGGACCTCAGCTGCTGGTGCCATCTGAAGGCCCTTTCCTGAGTCCTGTGATGTGGTCGGCACTGCCCGTGGCCTGGGGTTCGTCGCAGCATGGCAGCCTCCTCACGGTCAGGTGTCTCACCTGGCGGTTCAGGGCTCTCAGGGTTGCCCAGCTTCACGGCCTTTTCTGACTGAGCTTTGGAGAGCCAGCCCCCATGTCCACCCCACTCTGTAGGCTACAAGCAAGCACAGCCCCTCAGATTCAGGAGATGGGCACAGACCCTCTTAATGGAAGGAACATCGAGATCAACTCAAGCATGCCGGGCGGGGGTGGGGGGAGGCCGTGTGGAACAACTGACCACACCTCCCACTGGCTCCCCACTGCACCCCATCATTGGCCAGCTACACAGCCAGACACAGCCAGGCTCCCCAGGGCCACTGTGGGGCGTGTGGGGGGCCCTCATCTCTGCCTTTCTTACTGTGGCCTGTTTGGGGGCAGCTGGAGCTCTGGGTGTCCCGGAGCAGAGGGTCCCTGACTCCCGGACTCACCTGCCTCCCTCAGTATCTGCGCCATGCCCGTGGCTGCGGTGTTTCCTGGCTCCTCAGCTGTAGCGGCTCTGGAGTGAGGGGACCCAGGCAGAGCTTCTCCCTGGAGCCCAGCAGCTGGAGCCCCAAGAGCCCCCTTGGGCTGAGGGACCTGTGTGGATGGCTGTGTGGGCAGGGGCTTGGGCAGAGTGCCCGGCTGCGCTGCCCTGCCTGCGTGGGGGGCAACTTCTTCTCCGTGGGATTCGGTTTCTGAGAAGCTCCCAGACTTAGCCGAGAACAGCACAGGACAGGAGTCCTGACTGAGAACTGGGGCGCGCGCTGCGGTAGGTCCAGAAATGACGAGAGACTCACAGGACGTTTTCTCTGGGTTTCTAATTCACCTTCTACTCCTCTGCTGGTCACCAGCAAGCTGCTGACTTCAGACTCCCGCTGACATCTGGAATGAACACAAGGCCCTGCTTGGGCCTGCTCCATGGCTACACGAGGCACGAGATGGAGACGTCCACATATGTGGGTGCGCACACACACATCACACACTCATACACACCATACGCCACAACACACGCACACATATATACCCTATGGCCAAACACACACACCACACTCACACCACACCACGCACACACCACATCACATGTATACACAGCTACCCCATGAACCACACACCACACACACCACACATGCCACATACACCATACCACATGCACACATATATACCCCATGGACCACACGACACACCACACACATACACATAGATACCCCAAGTACCACACACACACCACACTAACACACACCACATTAACACACCACACTACGCGTACATATATATATACCCCATGTACCACACACACACACACCCCACACTCACACCGCATACACACCACACACGTACACACATATACTTCATGCACCACACACACCAAACACACCACACACAATGTCCCCCAGCCCCCTGAAAACGCTTCACAAGTTTAGAGCATACACAGAAAAGTTAAGTTGCCATCTTAGAAATAACTGTCACACACACACAAAGTCAAATTGTCATCAGAAAGTCCCACGAGGATCGGCCCTGCCTGCCCTGCGCCCGCTCGCCAGCACTCCCCAGGCCTCTGCCTGCCCAGTGGCTCTGGCGGTGTATTTACATACATCCACAGGCGGCCACAAGTGTTCCTCCCTCCCTGGATGGAAGCGTACTTGGGGGTACTTGGTAAAGTAAACTCATCAAGCCCACAAACTCTTCCAGAGGGCCAGGAGCCCAGGGGCATCCATCTCTCAGGTGGCCTTGTCCAAGCAGGGCCAGGCCCGGCCAGGCAGACAGATGGGCTGGAGGGAAGGGGCCGGGCCTCTCGGAGTGGGGCGCCCCCTGGTGGCGGGCCCGAGAACTTCTCCTGGAGGACCCAAGAAGCAGGGTGGAGAGGCTGCAGGGCCCCTTGCACTCAGGCAGGGAAAGTTTTCACTTGGGGCACAGCATGGACTTTCCGAGGGCCCTCAGCTGGCCACCGTGGTGCGGGAGAGTCAGGGCCCAGCCCTGGCTATAGCCAAAGGCACCACTCTCCCAGCAAGGGCTGATGATGGCTGTGTGGACTGGCTTTTAGAAAGGGACCACAAAGGGCTCAACTTTTCTGGGGTGCCTAGGGAGTATCTGCATCCTGACCTTGTTTCCCCCCTTACCTCCCCTTTCTGGCTCCACCATCCATCTCACTTCCACTATGCAGGTCCTCGGGGCAGCCGCTGACCTCGGGGCAGGGTGAGGAGGGAGGGCTGTTGGCTGCAATTTGGCGTGTGGCTGGCACAGCACTGAGCCACCTGAACTCTGCTGTCTGGGGCACGCCAGCCCCTCTGCTCCGCCCCTGTGCCTGGGACAACGAGCACAGGGCTGAAGAGGAGCGCGAGCCAGGTACACCTCAGGGCAGGCTTCCCCGATGTGACCACCGCAGCCCCGGGCCCTGACCTCATCAGGGGGAGAGAAGGCTAGTGTGTGCCTGTGGGTGACATGGTCTGGTGATGTCACCCAAGAGGTGTCGCTCCAGAAGCCGGTCCGATGCCGGGGGCCGAAGTGGGGATGTGGTCTGTGAACGCCCTTCTGATCTGCTGCTCTAAGCCTGTGTGGGCCCAGCCTCTGAGAGCCCGGCACCGCCCTGGGCCCACACTCACACACACACACAGGCCGGAGGGCGACCACAGCACGGAGACTTTCCCTTTGATCTCATCCTGTGCCGGCAGCCATTGCCAAGTCTCACTGGCATTATTTTCTCAACCTCTCAGTAAGGAGACAGGACTTAAGAGGCTGATAGACCTGCTCTGGACCTTTCAGGACAACTGGCTGGGGTGGGGTTTGAACTTGGGGCTCTGTCTCCACCCTTCCATTGGGCAATAGTCACACTGCAGCTCTAAGATGGTGTGGGGTGAAAGCCCTAGATATTGGGCTTTTTTAAAAGATTTATTTATTTGTGTGTACAGAACTGGGGTACAAGCCAGAGGCGCAGGGGTGGTAAGAGGCTTCACCAGAGACAGAGCGGGGAGCAGAACAGGCAGATGGACAAAGTACACTGCTGAGGGGAGCGGCGAGCGGGGGTCAGGGGAGGTCTGCTGTGCCATGTGGCCACCTCCGGGGTGGGGACTGAACTCGCACTGCAGTGGCTTTAGCTTCTCAGTGCAGTGCTTTAACCCGCTGCGCCACCAGGGAGGTGTTTTCTAGCTCTTCCTACAACATCCTCTGCAGAAGCTTCCACCCCACACCTGCACCTGACCCCACTCATTGCTCCCTCCTCTGCTGCTGCTGGCTGGGAGAGCTTTGCTCTTGACCGGGCCTGGCTGCTCCGGGAGAGGGGGTCCCCTGGGGCTGGCGGGATGCCGCCTGGGCCCTGCTCGGCACACAGTGACACCTGTCCTTGCCCTTGCGCAGGAAAGGTGCCTCGTGGAGCTGCTTGGGACCCTCAGGAGGGTCGGCCGTGCTGGGAGGGAAGGTCACGCTCCCCAGCGGCGTGAAGCCCTTCCCGGACATGCGCAGTGCGCCTGGCCCCTGCACATATTCTTTTTCGCTTTGTTGAAGTGAGATTGACAAACCAAGCCAACAAGCCTGCAGCCGAGGGTGCAGCGCGGAGCTTCCATGCATGTGGGCACAGAGATGCTGACAGGCCAAGATGAGCGCACCCTTCGGCCCACACTGTTCCCCTTTTTTGTGGTGAGAAAGCTCCTGAGTGACTCTCATAGCCAACTTCTAGCACCCACTGCAGCCACGAACAGGCACCCTGACCATGCAGGTCCTCAGGGGCAGGCTTTCCTGGGTCCTGGGGGGCGTCTGGGTCGCCACACCTCTTTTGGGGCTCCTCAAATGTTTTTTGACCTTGGAATAGCAGGGCAAAAGGACACTGTCCCCGAGGTGCTTTGAGTCACAGATTTATCAGAATCAAGTACCTCCGGGGAGCTGCAATGTTCAATGCCCAAAATGCCCTCTAAGGGGTGACCCCGACGCAGATCACCTCCCCTTTACTCTGTCATCCATTCAGCAGTTAAAGTTTTTTATTTATGCATACAAAAACTGGGGGACAGACCAGAGGTGCGGGAGGTGAGAGGATACATCAGGCAGGCAGAGAGGGGAGTGGGAGAGGCATATATATCTACTGAGGTACACTGCTGAGGGAGCAGCCCTGTGGGTCAGCTCCCTGGCCGGGGATCGAACTCAGGCCATGGCCATATTGTTGACAGCGCTGGGACTTAAGCCCTAGGCTACCAGGGAGGCCCAATTAAAGTGTTTTTAAGTACAATTAGATCCTCAAATAATGCTGCTTAAAACTGCCTGTGGTTTTGATGGAGACCGAGGCCTTGCTGGCTGCTTCCCGTCCTCAGAGTCCCCGCCACACCAGTCTCTCAACCATCCCTCCCCGACCACAGGACCTTTGCACGTGCCGGTCCCCATCTGGTGCCCTCACGTCTCCACCCGTGCTAATGTGAGGGCGGTGAGCGGCACCCGGGCGCGGCTTCCTCCCTACTGGTGTCTGTGTCCTCTACCGTTTTCCCCTCACGAGGTACAAACACTGTAAACAAGATAAGTGAGTTATCTCTTATTTATTGCAAAATTCCCCCACTTCCCCATTGACTGTCTTTTGACTTTCTGGTAATTTTGTATTTATATTTCTAACTTTGACTGGGTCAAGGTCACGAGCCACTTCCTGCCTGGCTTCTTACTTCTGTGTGAGGTCCTTGACCGTGGGGCCATTGCTGAACATGATCCCCCTCACAGCAGCCGGGGGCCAGACTTGGGCTCTGCTCAGGGGCGGGGGGGGTTAGTGTGGGGAGCCCCGAGTCTTGGCACAGTTGCCTCCGGTAGGTCACCTGGAGTGACCTGCCGCTCGGGGGTGCACCCGTGGGGCTCTGGGGCAAGGAGAGGTGGCCCTCAAAACCCTGCTGAAGGACCAGGGAAGAGAATGGGGTGAAGCGGGTGGACCAGGGTGGGACGCATGAGTCAGCAGCACCCCAGGCCTCAGCACCAGGCCAGGACTGGGAAGCAGGGAGGCTGCCAGCTGCCATCTCTGCTCACAGCCGGCCCAGGGGCAGCAGTGGGCATGAGGGGCCCCACTCCCCGGGGGCAGTGAGTGGCCCGAGGGCGGGGCTGGGCCTATGCTGTTTGGCAAGCACTTGACAGAGGCCATAACTTCATTCTTGAGTCTATTTATTTTCAGATAGAGGGTCTCCCATCTGGCCGCGCACCCCAGCAGACCCTATGTTTGATTTTCATAATTTAATTTCAGAAAAAGGTCAACATCTTGAACCCCAGTATGAGCTTACATTCCAACTCCCGTTCTGGGCTGCGCAGCCCCAGAAGGTCCCTCCAGTCCCCGCGGGGTGTGCGTTGTGTAGAGTTGGCTCCCCGATCCTACCCTTGAATTGCCTGTTAGCAATTTTACTTTTTTATACTCGGCTGTACGTGTGTGGTGGATGTTCAGCAAATGCATAATGTGGTAGGAGTCCCATACGAGGTGATTTCACAACCAGAGGCCTAACTGCTGGGCTATTACTTAATTTGTGACCGTGATAAACAAGATTATTATGTGCAAACAATCTGGGCTTGTGCTCCAGCTGCATCCAAGTTTATTTTACAAAAGCTATAAACACAAGGCCCTTTCTAAGTCCTGCTGATTGAGTTTCTCCTTTGTTCGGCACAAGAATGTAAAGGCCGAGTGGATGCTGGCGGCTCTGAGCTAGCTCCTGGCTGTCCAGCACTGCTTAAAGAGCCCATTCATTCATCCCCCAGATTGGGCAATGCTTCCTCCGAGGGTCCTTCTGGAGGTTTCTCATGCAGAAACTTTCCCGGGCGCGGAGCGGGAGACATCTGATCTCAGCTTGCCCAAGGGGGACCCCAGGGACTCAGGAGCTTGTGAAATGCACCAAGAGCTGGGGGCACCGAAGGAAGGGGCAGGGGTCATGGCCTCCCCCTCCCTGCCTGCAACTGCTCCTCAGCTCAGAGGCTCTAGTGTAACTGTACCCCAGACCTGGGGTGCAAAATGGGCAGGCCCTTTATTGGGGAGAGCCAGCCCCCCCTTTGTGAGCCATCCAGAAAGGGGTCCCTCTACCTTGCTCCTGGAAGTCAGCGCAGGAGGCATAGGGAGCCCCCAGATTGGGCTTTAAAATTAGCCACGGAGGGATGGGGTAACTGGGTAGCGGCACCCTGCAAAGCACCGCGAGGCCACGGCGTCTCGGCGCTTCTTAGCAGCTAGCGGTTCTGAGGAGAACCCCGGCCGGTCTTCAGGGCCCACTGAGGACTGTGGGCTGCAGGCGGGGTCGAGTCCCGGCCCGGCTCCCCGGGAGTTACCTCCTCTTCCGCGGGCAAGCCTCCAGCCGGCCCAGCTCCTCGTGGGACCGGTAGAAAACATCAAACTCCTTGGAGCCCCAGCCTCGCCACACGGCCAGGTTCCACTCGGCGTTTTCATCCGCGAAGCCGCACACGACTGTGTCCTTTGCTACCACAGCCGCGTCTGTGAGCACCCTGTAGAGAGAAGAGCGCTGAGCAACCCACCCGGCCCCCACCTGGGGGGCCAGAGCCAGCCCGATGGGGTGGGTGTCTGCGGCACAGTCTGGCTTCCTCTGGACGCTTCCTCCGGGGGCGCCTGCGGACGGAAGCCTTTGAGTATCTGAAGACGAGGCCCAGGGCTCGGTCTGAGGTCACCCGGAATTGTCTGAAAGTGACTGACTCCTTGAAGCCCCCGTACGGTCAGGGCCAGTGCCGCCTAAAACATGCCTCCCCTGACGGGTCCTGGAAATTCTAGGAACTAGGAGCTTAAGCTTTAACTCAATTCCCTTGGCCCTTGGCTCACATCTGATTCTTTAGCCTTTCTATGTTTAGGAAATACAGGGTCGTGGGCCCTCCCTGGTGGCGCAGCGGGTTAAAGCACAGCACTGAGAAGCTAAAGCCACTTCCGCATGAGTTCGATTCCCGCCTGCCCCGGAGGAGACCACATGGCGTGGCAGACCTCTCCTGACCGGCCCGCTGCTCCCCTCAGCAGTGTACTTTGTCAATCTGCCTGTTCTGTTCCCCGCTCTGTCTCTGGTGAAGCCTCTCACCGCTCCTGAGCCTCTGACCTATACCCCAGTTCTGTATGCACAAATAAATAAATCTTTAAAAAAAAAAAAAAAAAAAAAAGAAAGAAATACAGGGTCGTATGCCAGGCGGGAGAGCCAGGCCGACACCGCCCAACCTCACGTCCATTTTCTGGGAAGTGTGAGGGTCTGCAGGTCCCGGCAGACATATGTTTCCTCCGGGGCCCCTCCGGGCTGTGCACCCACCTCTGAACAAGCACTGCCTGAACCACCTCGCTCAGCACTCAGCGTGCCCTGCCTGCCACTGAGGTCAGCACATAAACTGGAATGTCCAGAGGTCTTGCCAGGGCTTTGTAGACCTCGGGCCCTCAGTGGGTATTTCTCGAGGCAACCCATGTCTCGGACTCAGGTTTAGCGCTCCTCTCAGCTGCTGCTTGGGCCTGGATAGGGGAAGAAAGCGAAACTGGGGCCCCCCGAGGGACACTGACAGTGGACACTCTGGGTTCAACAGGTCTGGGTTCTGTCGACCCGCCTGCCCCCAGAAGCCTGACTGGTCATGGGAACTGTATCGGCCCAAGATGGCCGCCTTCCAATGCAGCCGTGACTCAGCAGCCGACCGGGACCTTGTTTCTAGAACCACTGTCAAGGCAGCGGTCACTGGCCCCCGTGACTTGCTGAGAAGGCTTGGTGCTGGCTGGCGAGGGAGGGGCCGCTGGGAAGCTGTTGTCGGTCATTACCCAGCTCTGGGGTACCCAGCTCTCAGCACCTGGCGCTCAGGAGGAGGGAGGGGGCACTGCTGGCTGGGCATGCAGGTGGTGTCAGGCCAGGCTGCCCTGGTCAGCACAGCCTCAGTGGAGCTGACCCAGCTCCTGCCGGGGCCCTCAGCAGATGGACACGGAGCGATGGCTGGTCCCGGGCTCGGTGCTGTGTGGCCCCATCAGGTACTGCAGGGCAGGTAGGGGGCCTGGGGAAGGTGGGTGATCACCTGCCTACCCACTTTAGTAGCAGCTGAGCCTGGACTCTGGAGGCATGCCCCAGGCATGAGTACCCCAGAACCAGGCGGCCACAGTTTCTGGGGTGCTCCTAGCAAGAATGGACGTGACATTTACTTGTGGAAAACAGAAGGGTGAGAGGCGGCTGTGCAGGAACCTGGCACTGGGGCCTCGGCCCCCCATGCTGCACCCCGGGTCCTAAAGGAGTCACCCCCTCAGTCTTACCCACACGAGGTCAGCTCTCGGGCTTTGAGGACGGCGATGACTCGGCCCCGCTGGGCGCCCGCATCTTTCTCCAGGCCGATGACGATAACATCTCCACCGCGCCTAGGAAATCAGAACCGGGAGGGAAAATGGAGCCTGTGAGCAGAAAAGCTCGGCAACAAACGTGCAGTTTCGGGGGGGCAGATTGAATTACCGGAAGGGCACCTTCGTGGCCCAGAAGCACCTGCCCAGTGGGAAACCTGACCGGTGGGCCATGGTGCTCCTTTGTGCAGCCCGAAGCTCTCTCGGGCAGGTGGATAAGCCCCAGCGCCCCCTTCCAGATTTGCTAAGTGATGGCGCCAGCCCCAGAAGGAGCGCAGCCCGGCTGGGCCCTCGCCCTGCCCCCAAAGCCAGAGCAGAGAGCACGCACGTGGGGCACCCCACTGCCAGAAAGCCCACCTGGGGACCCAGATGAGGTCCTTCACGGCGAGGAGCTTCACGGCCTGCAGGTGCTGGCTGAAGGCCTCTCCATCCACGGGGGTCAGGTCGTGCTCAGACCTGTTGGAGCCCGTGGTGGGCTCTGGCAGCCGGTCCGAGTCCTCGCCGTCGGTGGAGAAAGGCACACTGGAAGCGCTGGTTGGGGAGCAGGGGAGGCTGGCGGGAGACAGGGGCCCCCGGCGGGACGGGGACGAGGAGTAGGAAGACATGGAACAGTAGTCCGTCAGCGAGTCCTGGTGCGTCAGGATCTGCGTGCCCAGCTCCTCGCTGTACATGATGCTCACGTCCGCGATGGAGTCCCCCTCAGGCTCCTTCCGGTCAACCAGACGGCTGCCCAGGGGCTCCGGGCCCGCAGGGCGCACTGGGAACATGTCCCTGAGGGGGCTGGGGTCCCCGCAGAAGTAGCGGGCGCACAGCTGGTAGGTGGTCGAATGGTACATCACCAGGGAGTTGGCCCTGTCGTCCAGGCACCAGACAACCTCCTCCCCGCTGCTCTCTGAGCTGCACACGACTGACGTCACCACCGAAGGGGCCGAGTACGGCTCCAGCCGCCTGCTGATCTCCAGGGCCGCACAGTCGATGACCAGCAGGCCCGGCCCGTTGCTGTACCAGACCTCGGACCCGCTGTTGACCACCTCCATGGCCTTCACGGGGTAAGGGTTCTGCCGCGCGTCTTCGTCTGTGATGCTGAACTTGGACCTGTTGGCCGTGTGCGAGCACAGGTAGGAGCAGCTGTCTTCCGGGGCGCCCCGCACCACGGGAAACACCGCCACCAGCCCGTCAGCCAGGCCTGCCAGGACCAGGTAGGAGTTCTGCGGAGAGGACAGGGGTGTGTGACGCGCGACGGCCGTGCACGTGGCCGAAAGACAGGCGGGCACAGAACTCAGCGCGCACGTCCCGTCCCGCCACACCCAGCAGGAGGGAGGCTCCCGACAGGCAGGGGTGCCATGGGCTTTTCTGGGTCACTCCCCAAAACGGGGTGCGGCTCACGTCCCAAGAGTCACATGGGCTGCCTGCTGGGAGCAGGAGAGGGAAGCGTCAACAAGAGCATGGCCAGGGCACCCCAGCAAGAGTCGGGGGTCACCCGGCCCCGCAGGGCCCCACTTTGGGTTTGCTTCAGGCTGGCTTCTCGGAGCCGGCACCCCTTTTCCCACACCATAGGACGAGGCCCCCTCCAGGGAACTCAGCTTGTTGAGGTGATAGTGGTCTCCTCACTGCCTCCTGCCTGCTCTGCCCACTGGTGGGGTGCTGGGAAAGCAGGGCCCCTCGTTCTTCACGCCCATCACTGCCCCCCCGGGGGAGCACTGGGCCTCACCGCCCTGCTTTCTGCTCCGTCGACCATGCATGCCCCCTGCTGAACTGATTCTGGAAAACTCGCTTCCACTGGAACCCTCCCGTGGAGGCATTCTGGGCTGCTGTGTTCACACCTGCCACCTGAGATGCCTGTGGTCCTGCAGACTTGATGGGTCCTTGGGGGCCCCCATGCCCACAGTGAAGCAGGTGCTATTCTATAGCTACCAGGGCCAAGGCAGAAGCCAAAGCTGCAGGGGCCCTGTCCGACGTGGGCCCCACCACAGGCCCCCCAGCATGTGAGGGTGCTGGCAACATGGCGGTTTGCAGTCTATTCACCGGAGTGGGTTGAGCAGGGGAGGCTGCAGCGAGGATCTCAGGAGAACAAAGCCGGAGGCAGGACAGAGAGGGCTGCAGGCTGTGTGCCAGCGAGAGTGAGCAGCAGAAAGCCCCCTTGTGTGGAGCGCAACTCGGGCGCTCGGGTTGTCCAAGGAAACAAGAGCCGGCTTCTAGTCAATGGCGAGGCCACTCAGTCCCCAGCACGCTGACTGAAAGGCACTGCTAGGGTTTTAGGAGAGAAGGGGGCCAGGCCGAACAGGGGCGAATGTCCACCTGGAGCTCGAGGGCCCAGCCAGGCAGTGAGCCCCACTTCCAGACGGGGGGATGAGCGCGTGCAGGAGTGCTGGGGTCTACGGCCCACCGCACAGGGCAGCCCGGCACCGGCCTCCGGCCTCCATGGGCAGGCGCCTGGCAGCGAGGCCGCGCACAGAGCTGGCTTTATCCCCGTGTGCGGGCGGTGGTGCCCTGGCTCAGCAGGCCGGCCCTGAGCCACCCAGCCTTGCCCAGGGGGCCACGGTCCTAAAGCTCTAGGGTTGATCTCATACTGCCCTCATCTCCCCTAAAAAAAATAAGCAAAGGCCCTCCCCGGTGGCGCAGCGGGTTAAAGCACAGCACTGAGAAGCTAAAGCCGCTTCCGCATGAGTTCGATTCCCGCCTGCCCCGGAGGTGACCACATGGTGCGGCAGACCTCTCCTGACCTGCCCGCTGCTCCCCTCAGCAGTGGACTTCGTCGATCTGCCTGTTCTGCTCCCCACTCTGTCTCTGGTGCCTCTCACCACCCCTGAGCCTCTGGCCTGCACCTCAGTTCTGTATGCACAAATAAATAAATCTTAAAAAAAAAAAAATAAGCAAAACTGTAGCAGGGCGGGGACAAGGGTGTATACACTTTCCACTGTCAGGAGGAGGTACCAGCGCTCACAGTCACGCAGGGCACCCGCAGGGCCCTCGCACAAGAAAGACAGGCGGTGTGAGAGGCAGTCCCACACAGCTCACCTTCTTGCACCCACCAGGAAGGAGCGAGGCTCCTAGACAGGCAGGCAGGGGTGCCAGTGGGCATTTCTGGGTGCATCCCCAGAATGGGGTGCAGCTCAGGCCCCAAAGAGTCACATGGGCTCCCCGCTGCAAGCAGGCATGGGAAGTGTCTCAGAAGAGCACTTTAAAAACAAATTTTATTTCTGCATATAGAACTGGGGTATAGGCCAGAGGTGCAGGGGCGGTGAGAGGACTCACCAGAGTGGGGAGCAGGACAGGCAGACTGATGAAGTCCACTGCTGAGGGGAGCAGCGGGCGGGTCAGGAGGGGGCTGCTGAGGCATGTGGTCACCTCCGGGGCTGGGGATCGAACTCGCACCGAGGCGGCTGCAGCCCGCTTGCAGGGCTGTGTCCTCCCCCGCTGCGCCACCAGGGAGGGCCAGAAGAGCACCTTTACCCACTGTACAGACAGAAGCGGGCGCTGGGTGGTGATAGCCCACACCGTTCCGCAGGGCCACTCCAGTGAGGATGGTGCGGGACGGGCGCAGTGCCCGGACCCAGAGCCAGGTCACCCGAAGGCCACCAAGGGGTGGGCTGGGGGCACTTCTCAGAGCAGGGCCGTGACCCTCGGTCTGGAGAACAGAACGGAGGCACAGGTGACCCTAGAACAGTAGGGGGCTGCGGGCGCGGATTCTCTGGGAATCCCCCACCACGGCTCACCTCGTAGCTTGCGGGGGCCAGCAGCTACTGGTAACAAACACACAGACACCCACTAGCTGATTATGCCTGTTAGGTGCTTTATTCTTGTAACTAAAGCCAACGCTACTCATAAAATCACAAGGAAGAGGGGGCCCTCCCTGGTGGCGCAGCGGTTAAAGCACAGCACTGAGAATCTAAAGCCGCTTTCACATGAGTTCGATTCCCGCCTGCCCCGGAGGTGACCACATGGCGCTGCAGACCTCTCCTGACCCGCCCGCTGCTCCCCTCAGCAGTGTACTTGTCAGACAGCCTGTTCTGCTCCCCGCTCTGTCTCTGGTGAAGCCTCTCACCACCCCTGAGCCTCTGGCCTGTACCCCAGTTCTGTATGGATAAATAAATAAATCTTAAAAAAAAAATCACAAGGAAGAGGACATTGCTGAAGGGAGAACACGGCAACCGGAACATGCCCACTGACAACCAACACATTATTTTTTCTACTGAACAGAAAAACCAGTGTAGGTGGACCCTGTCAGACGGCTCAGCTGCAGTCTGAAGAGGTGTGTGAGGTGCGGCTGCTTCGCTCGGCACCCCCGGGAGGTGCGCTAGGTGGGGCGAGGGGAGCCGTTACAGTGGGGAGCCTCACCGGCCCCCAGTGGCAGCCTGGCCTGCCGGGGCACAGGTCAGGGCCTGCGGTCCGGGACCCACAGTGAGCTCTCTGGGGGAGACCACCCGGGGGTCCCTGCACGGTGGCGACTGAGCGGCCAGGCCGTCAGGCCATGCCGCTCGCTCTCTCGTGGGGACGGGGCACACCCCAGCTCCCTGCAGTGTCTGCCCCGGGAAAGCACCTCACCCGCCGTGGACTGTGGCCGCCGCTCACCCCTTCTTTTGCTGGTCAGGTGGGTTCTGGAAAACCCCAAAGACACTAGATGGCCTGGGTGTCCGGTCTTCCCAAGGCTGGGGCTGGGACTGGGTGTCCCACCGAGGGGGGCGCATCCCACGAAACGGGGAGGGGGTCAGACGCTCGCACACCTCCCTAGCTTCCCTCACCTTTTTTATAACCGGCACTGCCAGGAAGCAGGTGACCACAGCTGGGGTGTCCAAGGCCTGGTGGGGTGCGTTTAAGGGACACATGCCCTTGAGGTTGTAGATGTAGATCTTCTGGTCCTACGGAGGGGGAGGCAGTGAGACCGGAGCCCCGTGCCTCTGCTCCCAGGGGGCGCCAGGCAGGCACGGGGCTCCCTGGGCCTTAGAAAGTGCCGACGGAGGCTTCCTAGGGGAAACTGACTCCACAGAACAGTCTAAAAGAGAAACACAATCACTCCTAATGCGTGACGCAGAGAGAAGCATTACTGGGGTTCGGGGCAGGATGCCCCATATTCTGAGTGTTTGTGTGCCTCTGTGTACCCCACAAAAGCGGGGTCTCGCTGTCTGGGACCCCTCGCTGAGGTCCTGTCCCAGTGGGCCCGGGGGGAGCCAGCCAGGCTCACCGTGAGCATCCTGGAACCCATCTGTGAGGCTGCGGGAGCGTGTCCTGGTCATCTCCTCAGGCCGGATTCTTAAAACTGACATCCACTGAGGTTTACCTAGTCTGAATAGTTCTGAGGTTTCTCTTGCCTATGTGGGTCCTTCTTCCAAACTGCCGCCTGGAAGGTTTAGCAACTTATGCCACCCCTGGGCCCCCACGGTGGCTGGTCAGTCTCCGCAGGGTTCTCAGACGGCAGCAGCGTGGCCTGCAGCGGGCCTCCAGGCCTGCTGTGCAGCACTGCGGGGACCCTGGCGGGGTTCTCCTGCTGCTGGGGCTCTGCACCCACTCCCTCTCTCACCGGAAACACCCCCGTCACCAGCCAGGGACAGGGCCGGTGATGCCACCCGGGCCCAGGGCCGCTGGCACCGCCCTGGGGTCTCCCGGGTGTGCTGGGTCACCTGGCAAGGCCGTGTACCCAGCGGCCGTCCCCGGGGGCTGCGTCAGCACTGCCTGCCTCCCCGCCCGCCAGGCGCGGTACCTCGGTAGCTGTCCACAGAGAGCTCTGGATCTTGAGCTGGCAGCTCAGCTTCATCCCTGCACAGCTCATGTGCTGCACCTCCAGCAGGCCCTTCTCCGTGTTCACCACCGTGTAGTTCCTGCGGGCACAACCGTCTCCGTCAGCGCTCAGGGCCAGGGCTGCCGCCCGCATCCCGCCCGGCCCAGAGGGGCCTTGGAAGAGGACCACAGTCTTGGCCTCGTCCAGCCATCCGGGGAGGCTCGAGCCCCTTCACGATTCTGGCTGCAGCAGGTTCTCGGCCTGTGATGCTTGAACTTCCAGGCAAAGGCCAACCCAGGGGACAGAGGAGGCTTTACTTGTGGCCTCTGAGCGTCCAAAAAATGATCTCTAGTTTGAAGGGGGGACACAGGAAGCAGTGCCCCCCGCCAGCCACTCACTGGCCGAACCATAACTGGGGGAGCCCCTCCCTAGCAGAGTCACCCCTCAAGATACAGGATTAAAATTCCAGCCTACCTCCTTCTGTGTCTTTTCCTACCCACGGACCCCACACACTGGCCACGCATTTCTGTGGCCCCAACTGTGGGTCTCATAATTTAACGCAACTCTCACGTAAGCCTCAGACCCCGGCTTAAGAGCTCAGCACCCCACGCTGCCCACACGCACGTGAGGGCCTCACTGAGGCCCCACGGTCCATCTTGCCCCCCTCCCCTCCCTTGAACGCACGCTCAGGCCCGGTCACCTTTCTCTCTCCTGGCAAAATCCTGTTTGAAACCAAGTGTTGCCTCTCCTGCAGCCTGGGCCTCAGAACGTGCCGGAAAGCCCCAGGCACTCGGACTGGTCTCGTCGCCAACACCTGACCCCAAGCCCGACGGACCTCCGTGCTGCCTGCTGCCTGCGTCAGAGCTGCCTGCGTCTCCTTTTGACCGTGAACATCTGAGGCCTCTGCCCACACGCTGACCCTTTCCGCCCCCGCACCGAGGGGGAGATGCGAGGAGGGAAGGCCGTAGGCTTTGGGCCCCCCCCACCCCTCAGCAACTGCTCTCGTCCTCTCCCCGGCTCCAGCATCACTCACCCCCCTGAGCATCAAGGGCAGACAGCGCCCGTGTCACCGCCCGCCCCCTGCCCTGGCAGATGCCCCTGAGCATCAAGCGGCAGATAGTGCCCGTGTCACCGCCCGCCTCCTGCCCTGGCAGATGCCCCTGAGCATCAAGGGGCAGATAGTGCCCGTGTCACCGCCCGCCTCCTGCCCTGGCAGATGCCCCTGAGCATCAAGGG